GAGAGAGAGTCCATTCCATGGAGATGCTGGATTCACACATCTGGCCCTTGCTTTCTATTTTTCTGAATTATTCCTTGGGTAGTAGGTACAACTGCTTAGCGGTTAGACAGTCCTAGTCAACTAATTATTATGATTTAAGAAAATTTCCTGATATGGGTAGAAAAGGAATAAATAGAACAGGAGAGAGAAAAGGAAATAGGTACATAAGAGTTTAAGCTTCATGACAACAAAACAATTTCTATTCCCACAATCCTACTCAGGTCTACCCAATCTTAACAGTTGCTAGTTTGTGATTAATTTGGAGGAAAGGATTTTTCCCTCCCCTTTGGCAAGAGAGCTGGATACTCCAGGAGGCTAATTAGGTCAAAGGCTTACCTTGTGATATACCTCAGTGGTCCTGAGGGATGGCTGGTTCCACCACTGGGAAAGGAAATCCACTCACGCCACGTCTGACACCAAACTGTTAGGAATTTCTTGAATAGGGAGGTCCCTGGGAGAATCTCATCCACTAATGGATCCACAAACATAGAGAGCCAGACTAAAGAGATAAGACTTAACAACGCAAAGGAAGCTACTCAATGGAAGCAATGTTTTTTAGGAAATGGTATGTCCTTATATAGCAAGACAGAATTTAGGTTACCCAATGAATGACATTCTGCATCATTTAGTCACATCAAAGGAGTATTGTTCTACTATATGTGAAAAGATAATTACTGTTTTTGATGTAGACTTCTGTAATGGGAGGCTCAACAGTCCATTGCATCACCAAATCGTTAGGTATTACAGATTCTTATGAGTCTTGCAGATGGTCTGCTAGAAAGCCCATCCAAAAGGAAAGAAGAAGGTTGCAATTTTAGAAATGAGGTTTCCATTTTATTCACAAAATATATTTCTAAATAGTGCATCTTTTCTTCCAAAGGGCAATGAACTCCTTTATCTACTAAGCAAAGACAGTTTGTAACTCACTCCTGCATCTCACACAGGTATGGCAACCATATGTCTGATTTCAAATATTCTATTCCATTGTCCCATAAACCATCTAAATGTCCTGGAAATTCTAATATTTCAATGAATAGCATCTAAATATGTCATGTCAGCAAGCATCATAATAAAATATGTGGTCACAGAAGACTGAGAGTCACAAGTAGAAGAAACACCATGCTTACTAACCTGTGTTATTTTATGCCTGTCTTATGTTTTACGTAGAGAGATGTTTGTGGAGAGATATGGAATAAGCCACATTTCTAGCAGTAAAACCCAACAAATAAAGACTACACTCACCAAAAGAAAAGCATAGATGCCTTTAGCAACAAAACCAAATTCATTCACCGTGCTGATAGGAAAACAATAATTATCATTTCTACTTTCTGTAAATCTGTAGAGCACTGTGGAAAGCAAAAGAAACAACTCCAAGACAGTTACTCAAGTAAACAGATGTATAACTCGCAACAAGTAGGATGCACACAGACATATGTGTATGAGCAGGGTTAGATTTTACTATAATGGCTTTTTTATGAAACAAAATCAAAGGAAATGCTCTATTTGGCTATACTAGTGAGGTACAAGAATACATGGGAACACGAAAAAAAGAAAAAGCCCCAAACCTCTCATCCTAAGAAACATCTGCTTTAAAAAGAGAGAAATTACATATGGTCCAGAAAACTAATTACAGAAAAGAAATATCTGTTGGAACAGAATAAACAATATCAATTGCTTCTTCAGAAACACCTTGTCACACTGAGCTTACTCAGCAAACTCTAGCAGCCCCGGAATTACTGGGAACCAAGGTGACAGTTATTTTAGGTTCAAAGTCAAATAATCTCTATTTTCCTATTTACTCTCCTTCTGTATAGTTCAAAGTTTGAGATGTTCAAAATTACTTCATTACAATTTTTTTATGTTGAAATGAGTGCAAATGGCAAAATTTATCTTATTTTTATGTGTGCTTTTAATTCAACTTTATAAAATAAATCTTTTCTGGTCTCCTCCCACACTACAGCCTTTCTTAGCCGAAAAGTAAGCCAGCTGGAACCACCTTAGGGATGAGGATGGAAGGCTATATCTCACACCAACATTACGGTCAATCAATGATCAAGCAGCTAGTAAGTTCTTACCCTGTGCCAGGCACTGTGCTAGAAGTTTATATTCAGATGAGAAAGAATCTTGGGGCTGATTTATTATTATTTTTTTTAAATAAAACTGGCTGCCTATTTCTCCTTGCCCTGTAGCTAACAAATTAGAGCATCTGGGGAGTCACTCCAAGCTTGGTTTTGAAGAATCATTATTTCTAAGTGTTTCTGAAAGACTGGATCATTCACAGACATTCTGTAACTGGTTCTGGTTGGTAAACCACATGGTTGGGAAGAGACTTTTTCAATTGGCTGCATAAGCCACAACTACATGCATATCAAACAGGCCTCTGCCAGCACTGGATGTCTCTTTTTGATTCATTCAATGACTCCTTGCCCCACCTCCCCACCACCCAGATCATGGAAGAGACCACGTTGTAAAGCCATGGTGGCCCCAAGAAACAAGCCTTGTTCTTTGGCCTTATTTTTTGTTCCTTTCCATTACATGTGAAGCAAGTGGAGTCTGACATTATAAGTTTCCAAAAGTTGAGAGCAATCCACAGGATTCTGGGAGTCAGAATACAAGCTAGGTTTTGCATCAATGCCCCAAGGAGCAAGAAGCAACCTTTGGAAGGGACCTTTAGGGTTCTGGGCCTGTGGTAGCTGAGACAGCTTGGTGGGGTTGATGCTATGTAGGAACTGGGCTAAGTTTTGAGCTTATTTTCCAGAAACCAAATTGGTACAGGGAAGAGCACTGAGTGTTGAGGAAAATGTGCACTTGCTCTTACTATATCTTGGAAGTAAATAATTCCTCTGTAAAAGCTAATTGATATTAAATGGAACCTTCCTGCTAGTCACAGGCTGAGAACAATACAGCTAGGGGAAGCTCAAACTGATAGAAGTGAAGAAGAGAAATAGATCCCAACCCCTCAGAGGGGGTGACACTTCCAGTCTAGTGTGGTGGAGTCATCCAATCACACAAAAAAGACCGAAACAAGATTTCTTGTTCAATAAGGAATTTTCATAAAAGTGCTGGAACAGACAGAAAAATTCTTTGAAGTTTTGATTTTTCTCTGTGGGGATCCCATACCCACTTTTTCAGGTCAGGACTTTTGCCAGCCAGGTCAGCTACTAATACTAACTTAGTAAGTGCAAAGTAATACTACTCAGAGATGACAGGGAGGAAAAGATTCTCATACCGTATGTCCTGAATTGGAGTTCCATAAACTAAAATGATTTAATATTAAGGAGTATTTGGGGGATTTCAAGGTGATACCAAAAGGCTGTGAAGATTTTTCAGTCACTTCCAAGGTAAATGCCTAACCAACCACTTGAATTATTAAAACAAGGGGGGGGAGTAGGGGTAGCAAAAGGCTATACAACCACCTGAATTTGGGGGTAAAAAGGGAAAACAGATGATTAATAAAATGAGATCAAGTGCAATGGTAGCAAATTTGGAAGTTCACAAGTCATGGAGAGGGGGCGCTGTAGAGAGATGGGAAACTCATGTCTAATTTTTTTTGAGGACTTTCTCCAGAACTCCAAAGTAAAAAAAATTAAAATACAATAAATTCACAAAGCTAAGGAGTCTTTTCTATTGGAGGCAATGCCTTGCAGCTCAAGGACACGGATTCAAATCCCACCTCTGACCTTTTTACTCCCTATATGAACATGAACAATTCACTTAAATCTCCCTGGGCCTGTTTCCACATCTGTAAAAGGAAGCGACTGGGCTAGATAAACCTCTGAGGGTCTCCGTTTCAGCTCTGCATCTAGGATTCTGGGCTCTCTTTCTTTCCACCACCAAAAAGTAAAATGGTTATTAATTAACAACTGATCTTAGGGCACCTTGAGATTTACTGACACAAGTCCAACCACCTTCCTGTTGTAATTGACAAGAGTACAGGGGAGACGGCGGCGGGCAGGCAGATCCCCCAGGGTCACAGAACGCTCCAGAGTCTCCAGCCAGGAGGAATCTGGTGGCAAATTCCAAAATTGAGGCTAGTTTCCAAAACCAGAGGGCGGATGTTCTCTTCAGTTACGTGCGGTCCTGGAACAGCCAGCCTGCACTTAGTTTCGCTTTCCTTGGCTTGGCCCGAGGCCAAGGCCATTCATCTCTCTGCTGGGGCTTCGGCGCAGACTAGATCGTCTAGACCGCCTTAGACCGCGCTACCCTCCCCCACGTTCACTCGGCTGATCCCCGGGAATCCAGCGAGTAGGGAAGTGGCCGCGCAGCGCAAAAGTTTTCAATCTACGAGCAACGAGGAAGCATCTGCAGTGTGCCACTGGGAAACAAAGGCGGAAATGCAACAGTTACTCCCTTCGGGGAAAGGACCTTCTATCCCCGGAAAGCCAGGACTAGCTCAGAGCAAAAGAGATGAACAAATCCAGGGGCTGCCCTTCATCTCGGATTTCCCGCCAACCCCCAGTAAACGACAACCACCACTACAGCAACAGCATAACTGAATGTAACTTAATAAACATGTATTAAGTGCCTCCTACGCGCCAAGCACTCTACCACTGGGCCGGAGAAATGAAGCCAGAAATGCCAACAGTTACCCATTGGGAAACCTAAGACTAGCCAGGAACAAAAGCGAAGAACAAATTCAAGGGCCAGGCTTGCAAACATACCAGATTTTCCACTGCACCATTTATTCTCACCCCCGCCAACAATAACTACAGGAACAATAAGAATAATTCAATTCAATTAAATAAATATTTATTAAGCGACTACAACCAGCCAGGCACCGTACATTCAAACCTGGGGAAGCTTTGACTAATTAGAAGCAAAAAAACAAGTCCCTGGCCTCGAGCAACAATACAATGGCAACAGCCACAACAGAAATCCAAAACAAAAAGCAAACCCCATCCAGCTTTGCAACCCATTTCTGGGCTTCCGGATCCCAAAAGGAACGGCGTCCCCGGACCCACCTGGCCACTCGCGGGCTGCTCGCTCCCTTTGGCGCGAAGTTGGCAGGACCCGGCGCGATGCAACGCTAGCGACCTGGGATTCTCTCGGGGATCCAGCCTTGCAGACATCTTGTTCTGGCAAGCCCTGGGCAGCCTGTGCAGGGCTGCCCTGGGCCCCCCGCCCCTTAAAGACGCAGCGCTGTATTCCCTCGTCTGGTCGGGACGCGTGGAAATGAATCGCAGACCCCCTTATGTCAAAAGACAAATCATTCACAAAATATTGAAGCCCAAGATCAGTGTGAGAATGACCCGCTGTAGGTGTCCATTAGCTTAAAAGAGAAAAAGCGGATTTACTTTTTTTTTCAAAACGAAAACTTTTTTTTTTAATGTGATCTGCCAAGACCTGAATTCCCAGGTTTGTGTTTCTCTTGGACTGTTTCCTTCTCTTTGAGTGGGAGGCTCATTAATGTTACTGAGGGGAAGTGCCCCAGTCAGAACCGCTGGAGTCCGAATTTACAACCTGTTGCAGTGAAGTATCAACTGGTGTGTGTTTTTTTTAATCTGGATTTCTGAATTTGAGAAGGAGTTGTGATAATTAGTATCATTATTACTACTGTGCTAGCTTCGTTACCATAGTCAACCACAACAATAATAGTGGTGCGCGTTTATGCAACTTTTTACGGTTGACAAAACGCTTTAACAATACTCTGGCATTATCTTGTATATACAGATTTATGTGCATGTTGGGTGCCCCATTAGAATGTAAGTTCCTGGAGAGCCTCAATTGTTTTTGCATTTCCTCGTATCCCCAGAGGTGCCTAATAATAATTGGTTGCTTAGTTGATTCTGACAACTTGTTGTAAAGGACCTCTAAGGCCCCTTCTAGCTCCAAATCCATTGAATCGTTACTCATAGTTGAATTCTGACTGATTATAGTCAAAGTAAGGGGGTTGGGAAGTATAAATGAAACCAGAGCTGAACGATGAACCAGGAAGAACTAAGAAAGGTTGAAAGACTAAAGCTCTCAGAGCAAATTTCAACGATTCCTTAAGCACTTATGTGCTAGATGGGCGCTAGGTGGCGCCATAGTGCACAAAGCTCTGAAGATGACCCCATCTTCATGAGTTTAAATCTAGCCTCAGGAACTTAACTGCCTGTGGACCCTGGGCAAGTCATTTAACCCTGTTTGCCTCAGTTTCCTCACCTGTAAAATGAACTGGAGAAGGAAATGGCAAACCGCTCCAGTACCTCTGCAAAGAAAACCCCAAATGGGGACACGAAAACATGTGCCAGGTGCTGGGGATACGAATAAAGGTATGTCATCTGCCCAGGTCACTGAAGTCGTACTGCAGTCCTTAAAACGTTAGAACGTAAGTCTACTTTTAAAATTTTTACAGCCAAGGGATGAATCATATCATTGCCCTTATAATTAGGCATATGACAATAAGGAAAGGATTAGTTTTAACTATTTTAGAAATCAAAAGCAACCTAGGTTGAGTGAGTTTGGTATTTTTCTTTCTTTTGCAAAACAATTGGGGTTAAGTGACTTGCCCAGGCTCACACAGCTAGTAAGTGTCAAGTGTTTGGTCTGAGACCGAATTTGAACTCAGGTCCTCCTAACTCCAGGGCAGGTGTTCTATCCATTGTACCACCTCGCTGCCCCAAGTTTAGTATTTTTCAAAACTGGCACTTATAGCTACAAGCAACTGGTTGAAGAGTTAAAAATAATAAGCATTAAGAATTAGCCTTATTAATTAACACTTCAATTGATCCTTGATTTCATCTGTTTAGGTGTAACAAGAATCATCAATCTAAAAAATTTTTAGTCAGATCTGGGCTTCTACCTCTGTAGATAATAATAACAACTACTACTACTAGCATTCATATATCAATTTAAGGCTTGAAAGGCTATACAAATATTATCTGATTTGATCTTCAAAATAACCCTTTGAGGTAGGTGCTATTCTTATACCCATTTTACAGATGAGAAAACTGAGAGATGTGTTAATTTGAGTAGGAGGGTGGCAGTGACTAAGAAGTCAATCTTTCACTCCCCTGTCTTAGAGAAGGATATTTGGAATAAAATTTCTCTGTCCCACATTAAATGTTTGAAGTCTAAAGACAGGATTCTCTTTTGATGTTCAGGATAGGAGCCACTTTCTGGGGTCACTTGGGACAGGAAGAGAAGTAGTTCCTTGGTGGGGGGTGAGGTAACAGACAACTTCATCTCAGCCAGTTTAGCTCCCCTCCCACTAAATGCTTATTACATAGATATCAAGGCAACATATTTATAAAGGCAAGCAGCAAAAGAGTAATTGAGAAATCATTTAGATTAGCTGAGGTCACAGAACACACAGGTGTTGGGGAGGCTCTGCAACTCAGAAGCAAGGATCTTCACTCAGCTGGGGAGAGAAGGCTGTCACTTAAGAAATCCACTTTTAGCAGTCTCTAGAGATGAAAGCACTAGAGTCCAGGGACATATTTGTGCTGGCTTCTCCTTAGATGGATTCAGCTTCAGGGGACCTCCTGTTCAACATTCAAAGTTGGCCCCTTCTTTCTTCTTGCTCCATCTCTTTCCTCTGCTTCTCTCTCCCAAAAGTCTCTTAGCCAATCAGGAATCATGTACATCTTCCTGCAACATCACAGGACTGTCTTTCAGGGAAGTACCAAGCTTTCCTGGGGTGAGGACTACGTGGTTTACTCCATTCAGCTGTCCATATTGTTTTCTTATTCTATGTTAGTCTTGTTCACGACCTCCCATAATTCCTCTATAGAGTATCTATAACAGGGGCTCCCGACCTGGGGTGTGGACCTACCTTTTAAGGGATGTGAGAAGCTTGTCAAGGGAGTTGGGGAAACATTTGGTAAATGATGATGATAGCTAGCATTTCTATGATGCTAAAGTTTGCAATGCACTTTTCATTTCATCTTATTTGATCTTTCCAATAACCCTGTGAGGGGGTTGTTATTTTTATCCCTACCTTACAAATGAGAACTCTAAGACTGGAAGAGCCTTGTCCAGGGTCATATAGCTAGTAAATGTCTGAGGCAAGATTTGAACTCAGGCCTTCCTGACTCCAAGTCTGGCGTTCTGTCCACCGTGCCAACTAGTTGTTTCACATTAATACCTAACACAAGGCCATGGCTTTCTGTGGTGGGGCTTTGCTTTGCACTTGCCCAGATCGCTGAACATGGAGACACTGAAATGGGGGATACCAGAGACCTGCTTCTAGAAGACATTCTTCTATGTTTTCCTATCACATGGGTATTTAACAGCTTTTTTCCATTTCTTGTGTAACCATGACAGGCTGTGTCTTTAAACCTTTAGACTAGGGCATTTTCTCTTTCCAGTAGTGCCCAAGGAAGGGTGAAGGTCCTGTTCATCAGCCACAGAGACACCATGAACTGCCTGGGTCAGGGGGAAGCTACCTCCCCCCTCCTCCTTTTAGGCCCTGTGTCCTAGAAAAACTGGCTTGGGATTTGGTCTGTTTTGCTCTTTTTCAGTTCTAGACATGGGCAGTAAAGTCAGTGGACCCTGACTTGAGCCGTGGCAATCTTGGAGGCAAGACTCCAGGCTAGATGTTTCTGCCAGCCCAGCAAGGAAGCCCTGAGATGCCAAGGTGTTGGGACACAAGCCCAAGGGTTGGACTTGCAACTTGGTGGGACTGTGCTACATAGGAACTGAGGTAAGCTGTGAACCTAATCCTCTTCTCTTGCCCAGAGACTGAAGTAAGAAAGGGGGAGATTATGCCCCTATTTGTTGGAGGGGGGAAATGATTGTATATTTGTTCACCTTTGAAAGGAATATTCCTTTGTAAAACTTAATCTAATTGTTAAGTGGTGAAATGGAACTGGAGGATGGGGGCACCCCTAAAATTAGGAGAAACACCATTGATGGTAGCTTCATCCAATGGCAGAAACACTAGACTGGAGCACTGGGGAAGCATGAAATATAACCCACCTGGCCTTCCAGCAATGGAATCAGGATAATAACTGTTATCAAGGAGGTTGTAGACACTTCACTGACTCATTCTGTCCAACCTACTCTCGCGCTGGCATATCTAGAATTCCAGAGAGAAATACGACCACTACAAAATTTTCTCAGGATCCTAGAAATCACCGTATTAAAAGGAAATCTACTTCCTTACTCACTACTCTAGCTCAACCCCCTATTTAGACATTTTTATTTAGACAATCATCTACTCACAACTATTACGCTTTTAGAATTTAAAATTAAACACTTAGCAATAAGGCAAAAGAAATATCATAGGTACTCATATTTTTTAAATTTTGTTTTTATTTTCAGTTCACTTTTATTTTCACATTCTCTTTTTCCATACACCCCTTCCAGAAGACAAGAATTACAATATTCATTATACATTTACACTTATGCAGAGCATATTTCCGCGTTAGCTATGTTCTGAATTTTAAAAGCAAGAAAAAAAGGAAAAAATACACTTCAATCTGTACTCATGAGTGTATCAGTTGCCTATATAGAGGTGGATAGAATTTTATATCATGAGTCTTTTGGAGTTGTGATGGATTATTGTATTGATGAGAGTTATTATGTCTTTCACAGTTAATTATCCTTACAATATTGCTCTTACTGTGAAGATTGTTTTCCTGGTTCTGCTCACTTCACTTTGCATCAGTTCATATAGGTCTTCCCTGGTTTCTGAAATCATCCCCTTCATCATTTCTTATATCACAGTAGAGGTACTCACTTTAGCAAGTGCATATATAAGATGCATCACTATCCATTTATAAACCTGGGTAACAATTTTACGGCCACGTTTCTCCTCAGTGTGGAGATATTGGGCACACACTTAAAGGAACCTGGAAGTGAAGCATGAGGGAAGAGAACTCAAATGCTTGGGGTAACTCAGAACTCTGGGATTCAAGCGTTGACATCACTGGCCAGTTGAGTGACATCTGAACCACACAAAACCACTTCTTTACCAGATAACATTTGCCAGCTCTTTCAACTTAGAATCAAAAAGGGTTGCTTCTGAAGGTCACTAACAGGTCACTCGAATCAAGGCTGAGAATGGCCAAGTTTATCAGGCCCCTGATCCATACAAACCAGCCATTTACATACCCTCATCTGGATGCCAGGTATTGTCCAAAAACAATGGAGCTCACAGTAAACATCTCAGGTT